AAATTGTTTTTTCAAGGTTGAAGAACTATGAAGAACCCATGCAGCACTGTCACACTACCTTATTTGCCAAAATAGCACCCACTTGAACATGAATGCCAACATATGTTTAGTTTTCCTCCAGGAGCCCCTTTGAGCAACTACATTTTCCGCACCAAGTTTTGGCAACCTGTATTAAGCCCTAATTGAGATAGCGCAGCTCTTGTTGCGATCTGCTTGAGATGCGAGCGCGCCGTCGGCACCCTGGATCTTCTGCAAATTGATGACCCACGAGGCGTTTTGTAAGCCCTTCAAACGCATGATCCAGCCGTTAGGGAACACACTAATCACATCCTGTCATGTCAAGAAAATCCTGAAGCCCACATCCAAAGGACATATCATGAAACCAGGATGACCAATGAGCAGGATGCAATAGCATGATCCCAACCAACATTTGTGCAACCTTCTGCGCCTTGACCTCTGTAACCATTTTGGGCCTTGTATCTAGCAGTTGGAAAGATGGCCCAATGGGTATTGAACTGAGTTGCGCCGTTCTTATGTTTTGACATAGTAGTTGCGCTGATGCTTCGAGGGAAAGAGAGGTTGCATCAACGAATTGCTTGACGCGCCACCCATGATTTCTTGTAGCACTGCTGCTGTTGAGAGTGACCATCCCATGTGGTTTCCTGTAAGGGGACCCCGACTGGTTCGCAAAGCACTTGAAATTCTCACTGAGAATCACCAAGGCTCTGGTGGCTAGCGGCAATCAAGAAGTTTAGACTATTTGCTGGCAAAGTTTATTTAGGGAGTGAAGGAATTGGTGCGTTTCCTTTCGGGTCGCTCTGAATTGCATGCCCACAGTCATGCAAACTGTGTTCTTAACGGGTCCAAAGCACAAGGAAACATCTGAGTATAGGGAAAGGAGGTCTTGTTAAGTGTTTTGCTTCGGTCGCCGACAGGCTGCCCGGCTGGGCATGCCGTCGACTCTGCACATGAGCCGCTCTGTGCCGACGCTTTTTGCAACTGCAGGCGCCTTGCTTGGAAGCGGGTCCGAGAAGCACAAGAGAATCCAGGAGCATCATGTACATCAATGATAATTACTTTGCTTCGAACAATCACCACCTAATTTATTTGCTTGGCTAAACAAGACAGCAACCACACAGGCGCCAAAAAGTCAATCCGACTGCGTGCGGGGTCTCAAGCACGCTGCTGGCTGATGCGACCTCAGCCAAACCAAAATTAAACCAAGACGGCGTTGACCCATAATCAATAGCGACCCTTGCCGTCACCGACATCACACCGTCACACTGCCTGTGTGGTGGAGATGCCGTTCATCCAGGGCACTCAGATTTTTTTGAGGGACCAGGCAAGGTTTTGCAATGCGCAAGGACATACCATCTGCAGCCCCAAGATCTAGCCACATGGGCTGCGTGACGTGCGTGCCCTCTATGGGCGCAATTACGTGCTCCTGGACCTTTGTGAAACAAACAGCCAAGCTGCTGCATCTCTGAGCACCGACGAAATGCTGCAGCCAAGCAGCCCAACAAGCAAAAGGCATTCTTCCGGGAAGGCGTAACTTGCCGTCAAACCTGCCCTTGTTCTGGTGTGGCCCTTTGCTAGGACCAGCGGGAGGCTGCCCTCCTGCCACTGCTGTGGGTGGTTGCTGGGCCAAATTTGGCAAAATGCTGGGGCCCGCACAAGCTATGATCCCGGCCTTATAAAGCTCCTAGCGCCTCCCCACACAACTTACGTAACTCATGCTGCTAAACCACAGTAGTTAAGTAGATTAAGTAGATTGGCTTGTTGTTTCAGCAATGTTATCCCCAAGTTGGCATTCTGGTGTGGCATTTGAAAGGCAGATCCTGGTTTTGCAAGCCGCGTGCAGGTCGACAGACACTGAAGCTCTGAGCCGGGATGATCGCTTCAGCGGCAAGCCTTGGTGCTGCTGAGCCGTTCAATGCTGTGGGAGTGTTGCTCTTTCCAGCAATCATGGAAGTGAACCGGGGAGTTCCTCAACAAGACTTGTCCTCCAACACCTTCTTGCCAACTTACATAATTGTTGGAGGGAGGGTACTTTTGTGGTCAAATCGTGGTTTCAAACGGAACTCAGCTGGAAGCCACCCTTTTTGGTGGTTGTTCCATCAACAGCGACTGGCGCGTATCCACAATTGTAAATTAACTTGTCGTTTGGCACGCAGGGCAGTGCCAGGCTCAGCTTGCTTTTTTGTGTATTGTTCAACTTGTTCTGACTACTTGGGTGTTCATGATGCTACACATGACCAGGTAGTGTTCATGTCGCAAGATGTCGCAAGGAGACAAATTCTGCTCACGATGGCCAGCAACCACTTGGCCCTATCCCAAATCGGGGCTGATGGCGAAAGGTTTTGTATCGAGTGAGCATACACAACAAGCAAAGGGGCGTTTACCATCCTTGCAATTTTAGAGACCCAACAGAAGTGGACCTGAACAGCTTTTTTGACCTTGACAGCTGCGATTTGCTTGATCAAATTAAACTTGGCATATTGAGGATGCTCCAAATTTTGGGGATAACATATAATTAATGAGGGATAGCACCAATTGGCGAATGGCTGTCACTGAAGTCCATGGCTTCCAGAATTTCAGCGAATTCAACGATGTGCCGTTTGCCCAGAGATTCGGCGCCGCACAGCACAGCCACCATAAAGCTTGTATAGCCCCTCCTCATTTTGACATACAACTGGACTAGATTTGGCTTGCGTTCAAAAAGGCCGGCTATGGAGCTATATACAGTACGTGCATAATTCCTGTCGCATCTTGCTTTCCCATTTCAAAATGAAGCGGGCCCCCACCAAAATCATGCAAATCCCACTGGCAGCGCTAGCTTCGCGCTAGCTCGGTGCTAGGTCGGGGACGTTAGTTGACGTGGCATGTGAGATGCGCACGCATGGCCCCTCTGTCCAGTCGCTCTCAGGGCTCGAGGCATTCCTTGCTCGCAAAGTCTTACCATGTGGAGAGCAGAGACGAAGTACTATTTGACCTGACCTTGCGAAAGCGCTGCGCCTGCCACGATATGGCAGTGATTTTTGAGGGGTCTGTAACAGAGCCGCAGCGGACATTCGTTACAGACCTCTGTAGCAAGACCAGCTGGCTGGTGACACACACCCCTCGTTACACACCCCTCGTTACACACCCTCGTTACACACCCTCGTCACACACCTCAGATCAACAAACCCACGCAGCTTGGCTTGCATTGAATAGCTGCAATCAAGCTGGAGGCGCTTTGCGTACTGTGCTTTGCTTCGCCTCCTTACAGACCTCGTTACATAGCCCTCGTTACAGACCCAACGCCAGCCCGGGCCAGCGACCCCCCTTTTTGCCGCAGCTTGGCTTGCGTTGAATAGCTTGCAAGCAGGCTGGTGCTGCGGAGGCGCGCTTTGCGTACTGCGCTTCGCTTTGCCTCGTCACAGGCCTCGTTACATAGCCGTTACCTACCTCGTTACAGACCCAACCCCAGCCGGGCCAGCGACCCTCCTTTTTGCCGCAGCTTGGCTTGCATTGAGTAGCTGCAATCAAGCTGGAGCTGCGGAGGCGCACTTTGCGTCCTGCGCTTTGCTTTGCCTCGTTACAAACCTTGTTACATAGCCATAACATACCTCGTTGTGCTGCGCCACATTGTGCTACTGATGCTGCTTGTCAGGAAATGTTTTTGTTCCGTTACAGACCTGCATAACAAGGACCTCCGTTACAGACCTCCGTGACAAGATTCGTGGCGCGTCGCGCGTTACAGACCCCTAAAAAAATCATGGCCATATCTGTACGTGACCTTGCGAAAGCGCTGCGCCTGCCGATATCTGTACGTGACCTTGCGAAAGTATTGCGCCTGCCACGATATCTGTACCTGACCTTGCAACACGTGACCCTGGGAAAAATGTGAAAACATGGGCAGTTTTTCGCGCCAGCTTCGCGCTAACACCCGCGAGCACCGCGCGAGCAGGCAGTTGCCACCTTGAACACTGTTGTTGGAGGCAAGACCCACGAAGCCACTAGCCCGGATAGCTCATCCGACAGCAGCTAAGAAAAGGCCCGCGCTATAGTGCGCCTGTCAGTTATTTCGTTTCTTAGTTAAACCTATTGTGCCGCAATGGCTACGCGTTCATACGGCCCGAATGATACGGGCCCCCTTGGAATGGTGATTTACGCTACAAACTGGGAACCAACATTTTGACAACCAGCTAGATGACAACCTCACCAGTCAATCAATGCATTACGCTTCTGTTGAAGGATTGGGACATTTCTCAGCAGGCCCATAAGAGACATATGATTGCACAGCATCACCCTGACCCGCACTGAATTCTGAAGATCGCAGGTCAAACGGCATGGCATGGGTAGTTTCAACCCGGCCGCAGTGTTCGGCACTTGCCGGACCTGGTGCTGGCCCCCCGCAGATGCGGAGAGGCTGTTGCGCTGAAGTTTGGCGTGAAAAAGAGTTCTTCCGGACGTTTCACCTGGCATAAGTGTGTTTAGGCCCACCTTCTTGAGGCCGACTTTTACAGCCTTTGAGAGTGGCTTGCAGTCACAGGAAGGGCCCATTTTGGCGTCACGGTGGTTTTTCCACAGCCGGTGGTCTACTTTGTCATGTTACAGACCAAAAGAAGGTCTTGTGATAGGAGTCTCATCTTGGGTGATTTGTCAGTGGCAAAATGGCTTCTTGGGCAAGCCTGCGAATTGTGAGCATGGTGAAGCAACACGCGACATGTCCAGGCCAAAATCAAGGAATGTTGTCATGGGAATACAAAAGGTCATGCCTAAGGAACAAAACACCGTCCGATCATGGAATTCAAGCAGATTGCGCTTTGCACGCACAGTCCCCTGAGTCCTGTGTAGGGATCACACGGCAGGGAGTGGGCATTTTTCACAACCTTCCGTTTGCCAATCTGTCCGTTCCAAATCCTCAGCGGTCTTCGTTGTTCATTGACATTCATTACTCTCCGCTGCGTCATGACGTTGGAATACTTTGGCTTGTTGCCACTGCGTAACGGCCTGAGGCGGGGCTTCCAGGCGTGCCTTCGGCCTGGCACTCGGCATTCGGGCGCTGGGGGAGCTCGATTCCCCCCGGAAGGGCCTGGACTGGGAAATGGGGGAGGGGGGGGGGGGGCAACGGCGTGAGGCAAAATTGCTAAAGGGTACCTCAATGTATCCCCATTGGCCAGAGCTTTGATGGGTATTCATGTGTGGACGGTCCCACTGTTTGCCCCGTACCCTGGTGTTTATGAGGACAAATCATCACCGCAAAAATTGCTGAATAATCTTTGGAACAGAAGGATGGTTTTGTCCTGCTTGCACTTCTTCAGGACAGGCCCCATGTTTGCGCAAACACATTTCCTCAACCAAGCAGGACCTGGCTTGTGCACTGCCCCCAGGTCCCCTCCCCAAAGCCGCTACACAATGCCGCATGTATCATTTGGGGGAGGGGGTTGCAGCCGTCCAACAGCGAAAATGGCAAATTTATCGAAATGCGCTCTTCAACACATTGGTGAAACGAGCTTGCCCGTGATGGATTTGTTACTTTTGCATACCTACTTTCAGGTTGGTCGAATTTAGTAATTTGCTCGTCAAGATGCTTTACTTTGTTTGGGACAAACCCCCCTTGGATCATGTGTTGAAACAAACACTTCAGATTGTTTGGCTCAACTGTCCTGCAGCCGGCTCCGGCCAGGGAGAAACAAACACGCATTCCCCCTTTCCTCATGAAGTCGCAATCAAAACCTGGTATACTGAAACGTAATCCCAGAACCATGTCAAGAATCAAAATGGCTGCACCCAATCAATGGTTAGGATCATCCAATACTAACCCAACAATCTACCCGGGTTTTGAGGACGTGGCCCACTTGAGCTTGGGCTGAGGCGTTGTGCCGCGCCGTGAGCCCTTTCTGTCGAGGTCCAAGTGGTGATGCGAAGCCCATGGTTTCTAAGGCCAAGCTGCGTGTCTAATTGGAAGCTCCAGCAACAAAGTCTACCAGAAGGTATGTGCTGGGTTATGGGACATTTCCTATAGAATCATCACGTCCATTGAGGGTCATAAACCTCTGGTTGACTCCGATTGGTACGCATCCGGCTCGATATGGGGTGGCTCGTTTTTGTTTAGGCTACCCGGTTTAACGGGGAACCGAAAGGAACCACCAATTTTGAGGGTCCCCCTATGCGGCATGCCCATATTTCCAGGATGTTTACTCTCCATCTAGGTTTTCCGTTGGTCAAAGTCAGTGCTGTGTGGCTTATGGTAAACGGGACCCGGAGCCACCTGAAGTTTTGGGCCGCGCGGCGAATTGCTTTTTATTGGCGGAGTCGATGCTTGGTGACTACGACCTTTTACCTTTTGACGTTTGGGAACACGACTCTTTTCAGCTTGCCGGGTCCCACGCCGACCCGGCCAGTGTTTCAGGGCTTGTGCAAGCCGCTGGACCATTGGCCAACGGAGCGGACAACTCATTTGGCTGGCGAAATTGCACTTTGTCAGAAGCTCCTCGTTCTCGCAACTTCTCGCAACTTATGGTGACACTCGGTAAGATTGCAAATCATTACTGCCTCTTATGTTGACAGTCGGTCAGAAGCCCCCCTGCTCACAGCAATTTCCCGTCAATAACTTATGAGTTGCTGCCAGGCTTCTGCAAACTCGCTGTTTTGGATGAGAGCAACGCCCAAACTTGTCAGTGCCTTCCCCCTGCGCTTGGCCTCGCATAACGATGGGTTCCTTGGCCAAAGAGGATTGAGGAACGCATCACGAGCTCGCATGGCGAGCCAGGCTGAAGCCAAGGGGGTCCTTTCTGCCAGAAATTCGGAAAATGCTCCCCCCCTTAAAGCATATAGGTGTCCTTTTTGGCGATATGCCGAATACCAAACTTGTCCCACAGAGGGGGCAAAAGGACCGCCAGAAGTGAAGCGGCTACAATGAGCGCTACTGGACTTGCATCACTGCTGGCTCCTGTTTACATACAGTACAACTACATGGTTTGGTTGGGCTGGGTTCAATGGAAAGCAGACATGGGCAAGCCAGATGATAGACACGCGTACGGACCTCACCTGGGGTATACGACCGATTTCCCCATGAAGTTGTCGATTTTTGGGGCATTGTTTTAACTTTACTATATATACACCGAGACATACGAGTGCACCTTTCTTGAAGGTGCCCCTTCTTTGTGTCAAAAGGAGAACCACCATGTTTTGTTTTGAGGGGGTCCCTAAATACAGACACGCCATGACACGCCCATATCACCGGCGCCGCTCTGCCTTGAGGTTCACTCCAGGGCCACTCACAGTGTCGGGGCCTGTGAAGCAGGCCTATCCGCAGTTCTGGGCAGGGAGGGGCAGCAAACCGGATCCATGTGCGAGAGTGCAAACTAGTTGGGCGCGCAAAGGGTTCTGCCAGAGCCAACCAAATGGTAAGAATCAGAAAAACAAACAACAAAAAACACGTCTGTCCTGGAGGTGAGCTCGCAAAAGTGCAGATCTTTGGGGTTTGCCTCCCAATGGCCAAGATCGGAGTAGTTTCCCTTGGGCTCCCCTTTCGAGTAACCCGGTCAGAGCGGGCACCCGGTCTGCCCCGCGGAAGTTGGGTCAGGGCGTTTGAGGCGAAGCATTTGTTTTGTCCTAGCATTTCTGGAGAGTTTAAGTTATATAGCGGCGCCTTCGAAATGGCTTAGTCTTGTCTTGCTGGTTCTCAGGGAATGAGGGAATGACCCCGGAAAAAAAAAAAGAAAAAGAAAAAACAAGGTTCATTCCCAAGACCTGGACTCGGTCATTCGGGAATGGCAAAACAGGCGATGCTGGTGGACTATGGCAGCAGAGATAAGAGCTGCTGGCTTGATTGCGAGCGGATCGGCCCAAAGCACAGAGATGAGTTGTCCACATATTGGATTTGGATTGGCTTCCCTGCGTTTTAAGATGAGTGCAAGAAGGGGGTCCTATAGGTAACACCTACCCAAGATAATTGCAAGGAAAGAGCTTCCAGTCACTGGTGGGTTGGTTGATTTTCCTGCCAGTGTCGGGGAATCAACCGTAGCTCCGCTCTCGGCTAGTCTTGGCAGGTGTCTTGAACCCACGGCTCCCTAGGCCAAGAATGCACCATTCCTAGGATGCTTGTAAGACCCTGGTGGCAGAAGCTAGGTATATCTCACTAAGTGGCAAACAACAACACTTTCTGGGCAAGGGGAAACATATCCAAGGGTCAGTTGCATATATCGTCCGTTGCTCTTGTTTTCACACCTGACACACACTTCAAGGATCCTTCACCTGACCTTTCAGCCTTTAAGTGGCATACAGGGCCAACAGGGGTGTGGTTCCTCGTATTGAGGCTCGTTGGATTCCAGTTGCGTGGTTGTTTCAAGGGCAAGTTGTATGCCATGTGAGGACATCTTTTGAAGTTGCCACAGCGTTCAAACAAACAGCCGTGAGATCCGCAAAAATTGAGCCAACAATGGCACAAATGCCTGCAAGCGCAGGGAATGAGGCAATGACCCCTATGAACCATGCCTGGTTTCCTTAAGAGTCTGGGAATCCCTCAGTTCATTTCCACAACTCGTGTCTCCCTAGGGAGAACCAGCAAGTTCCCTTTTCAGCTTGTCCGCTGTCAGCCAAAAATGAATCACGACCCTTGCGGCCAGACCCATATGGGCCGACCCGCTACTCACTTGGCCAGGCTTTTCTTGGACACCGTGGTGGACGTGCGCAAGTCTCTCCTCTCCTTGGCGGGCGTGTCCAAGGAGCGGAGTTTCAGACGTTGAATTTTCTCTGTGAGGGCAGGGGACGATTTGGAGTGCTACGTGTTGTGTTATTTGTTGTTGCTTTGTTTCGTCTGTGTGTTTGTGTTGGGTGTGTTGTTTGTTTATGTCGGGTGGGTGTTAGTTGCTTGGGCGTCCGTGCTTGTCCTTTGAGCAATTCGAACGGTTTCGATATTTTTTGGGCGAAGGCATCGGCCTGCCTAGATTGGTAGATTCAGCTTGGCAGGAGTTCCTCAATCTTCCTTGTTTGGACCTCCAAAGGCGCTTACCGGGCAATGGACAGGACACCCAGTGACCCCCGGTTGACGCCGTGTCAGGCCACCATCGATTCAGCTACGAGTTGTTCGGGGGCCTGAACGCCGATTTTCATTTCTTGATAGTGAAGGGGACTGGATCGCCTTTTGAAAGCCGGCTTGAGCTGGTGTGAGAATGGTCCGGTGTTGCGAGATGTTTGCTTTCCCTGTTGCTCGATCACTCTGAGGGCCAAAACGTGCTGTTCAACACAACAGGGATGCTTTTTGTTTGGAATCGTTTGTGACAGAAGAGCACCCAAATCGGGCCCAACTTCGACCACACCCGCAGGAGAAGGGCTACGAGTGCGTCCTCATGCAGGTGAGGACGGATTTTGGGCAGTCTGAACTCCGATTCAAGTTTTGCACCGTTGCTCGTTTCTATGGAGGGCATTCCGAAGTTCTGCCTGGTAGGCAGATTCGCACAAGATGATGCGATGCATGAATGGAGCCTGTGTATGGGTATAAAGTAGGGGTACCCGGCCCCAAAATGGCGGCTTTCCTGGCGATTGGGGGTGCCCATATTATATTGATCCGAGGCCAAGCTGCGAGGATGGCATGCCGTGTGTTTGGAGCCCCTGGCCGTGTCTTGGGCTGAAAAGCCAACTGAGGGGTTTCGAAGGGATCAATTCCCTTCAAGACAAGAATCTAGTTTGATGGCCCCAGCGGTACCCTCCGCACCAAAAGGTCCCAAGACAAGCGGTCTGAAAAAGGGGCCCTCCCTTTGTTAGTTGCCATGGCAACATGGGACGGATAATGGAAGTCAACCCAAGGATGCACCCTGCTAATGTTGAGTAAGTCCGATAATGTTTGAGAAATTGAGGCGGTTTCAAAACCCGGGTAGATGAAGGCTAGTAAGGGATAATAGGCCCGGCCGCCCTGTGGATGTTGCACATAAATTCGGTAGAGCACTGCTTACTCACTTAGTTTGATTCGAGGTAGCTGTGCCTGTTGGTGACAGTTCATTACCTCCCCCCCACAAATGGAGCAGGAACTCGGCATCAAAGTCGATTCAATTGTTTGCGCTTCCCACAAATTGACGGGCGGAACAAGCTGAGATGCATCCATGCGCAGAGCCTCGAACATTTGATCGACCTTAACACATCACCAATACTGATTCACACTCGAGTTGTGTTCATGCTACTAGTCGCTAGCTTTTCTCTTTGATTTTTGGAGAGGTTAGGTCCTTGCTCATCCCAAATTGGTTGTACGGACCTTCCAGAACTAATGGGTTCCCATTGGTTGCCCTCCAAGCATTGGGTTGTCTAACTTCCATGTGAAGAGATTGATGACCATCCCAACCGCCCCCAAGTGAAGCATGTTTACCATGGCATATGGCCCAAGGGCAAAAGTTAGGGGTCTTCTTGCAAATGGTGTCAAAAGATGTTTGGGTTCCACAACTCACTTCACTTCACCACATTTCACCCTGGTCGTTTGGTGGCTTCCCCACCGAATCCTTGGGCTTTCTCTCACTCGCGTGGGTCGAGCACTCGCCCGGCGGATCGAGTTCAGGGCTCCGGCACCGCGGCGGTGGAGGCGATGCTCGGCACCGTGCCGAAGAACGCCAAGGCTCGAAAACATCCGCAGAAAGAGCCGACGTAGGTCTGAGAGGTCGAAAAGAAAACAGCTGCTTAGCAACTTCCATTTGCTGAAGATTTTGTGTTTGAATTTTCCCCTGTTGGTTCCCTCCCATGTTTCAAGGTTCACTCCCACCAATGAACAGCCGTTTTCGTTCAACGTTCGCGACAATGGCCCCTTTAAAAGGAAGATGGTCCAAACAAAACCCCAAAGTGTCAGGTCTCATGTTAATTGGCGAGGGGGGTACCAAGAGGCACACCAAGGAATGGCTTCTGTTGGGCAAGCCGCAAGTGAGTATGTTTTTGGTGTTCCAATTGTACAAGTACCTGAAAGAGGCACAAAAGACTTGGCTCGGAAGCTGCGCCGCATATGCTAAGCGATGAAGTAGTCCTGAGGATGAGAATCAACTTTTTTGGGATCACGGAAAGGCTTATTTCCTATTATCCTCAGTTAGAAGAAGCCGACTTGTTCACGGCTTTGAAGTAAGCTTTGAGTTGGCCAAAGTAAATCAAGCTTTTCCATGATCATGCTCAACATGTGAACTTGTTTAACCCAATTCTGTGATAATTACCGGGGCACTTCCATTTAAAGGGATGCCAAGAGAATCTCCTTAAAAATGATGCTGAGGGAATCTCCTTCAAAGCAATACAAAGGGGACTGTCTTTTTTTGTTCCAAAGCCGTGCTTTGGCAAGTTTGCCCTCCCAACGCTTTTCTTGGGCTTTCCTCCATGCTTTTAACACCAGCAATAGTTTCGAGGTATTCGCAGCCAACGTCGGCTCTCACGAGGGCCCAAACGAAGGAGTTCTATGTCAACCCCAGGTTCATAAGCCAGCCGGAGTACAGAACAGGGTGGCCCGAACAGCGAAGGATGCCCTCAATGAGGACCTCCATCAACCAAGGGTTTCTCATGTTTAGGCAATAGCATCCCTGGCCCGGGGGACGAACCTCACATGATACAGTGATTGGGTCCCTTATCCCAGGTCGATTTGCTGCGCTTCAGCGGGGTTCCATGAGAGTCTCTGCAGCAAAGCCCAACATAAAAAGAGTTTGGACACTCAGTTTCTGCATTGGATCCAGCTCAGGCGGAGTTTGTTGCAGGAACGGCCCCCCAAAGAGGGTCAAGCCTCATGTACTTCATATCACTTTGCTGACAAGCACTAGGCAATTTGCCTCGGAAACTACGTTCGCGACCTCACCCTTGTTTGTAGATATTTGGTTTGCGACTGGCATTGTTTTTCAAGTTCCATGTTTGGAGCCTCGCCGTCATGTGTGGAGCCTCGCCTGCTGTTGGGGAGCCCGCTTGGGCAGAATGCTTTTCTAAGCCTTGATTCTATTTCATCGAATTCCACGCGAACCTGAGGGGAATCCTCCTGGGTTTCCGCACATCAGAGTAGCCTTTACGTCTCACTCGACAGGTTCTGCTGGTGATCAATGGCGCCTATGGTCACAGACAGACGGCCCCTCGCCGCGAGTTGGGGAGACGCCGAAAAATATTTGCAGGGATCGGGCTGGGGAATTATGGAGGTTTAATACTTCGTGTGATCTGAATACATGCGTATACTATATATATATATATATCGGACGTATATTATCAAAATAAATGTACATATGTATATGTCTGCAGTATTGTGATACATCTTCTGTATTGTTATATCTATATATGTATGTATCTATATATATGTACACGGTTGCTTTGCGAAAATGGAGATAAGGCCTCGGAGGCGTGCCATTTCTTTGGTCCGTGCTGTATTCCAGTGGATCGAGCTCATGGCCATCTCACTCCCAAAAGTTCCTGGACTTTGCGCCTGGGGATTCAAGTTTAGTGATTAAGCCAAGAGTTTAGCCGTTTAGCCCTTTTGCCACTCCACTCAGGAAGTGTTTGCCTGCCGAGGTCTCCGTAGAGTGTAGACAAATCTATTCGGGCAATCAAGCCTGGGTAGATGAACGTTGGAGGGGGGATTCTGTCCTTGCCAACTATTGTGGTGTGGGTTCACAATCAAACAAACATTATTGACATGGTGGGTAGATTTATACGGACAAGTCATGTAATGTGAATTGAGGATGACAAGCTCGCCAATTGTTCATCAAGGGCGTTCTCCATTTAGCAGGTTTGCCTTCGGCTGGTCTAGACTCCTTTACCTGGGTTGCTCCAAGCCTGAAGAAACTCCGCGGCCCTCCGTGATCGCGATCACAAGCGGCACATTCGGGGACTTGAGATAAACACTCCTGCATCCGGTTCCGGTATCCTCTTTGTGCATGACGTGGTGCTCAGCTGAGCAGTTTCCTGGAGGTCTGGCTCACGAATGTCCGACTTTGTGGTACGGCGCATTGGGCACCAGATGGCACCAGCAAATGGGCGTTCCACTCTGTCACCAAGTGTCTTTAGGACTCATTTGCAGCTCTCGGTTTCCTGAGCTCCTTGTGTAGACCAAATCTATTTGTTTTGCAGGAGATCCCCTATTTTGAAACAAACCCATGGAGTTGCATCCAACACAGCTGGCCGGATATATCACTTCTGGGTAAAGTACAGGCACCTTACAAAACCAGTTTGCAGCGACTCACTCGCGACGAAGGTGCCTTGCTTGAGTAAACTTTGTTTCAGGCTGGTGAAATGTCATGACTATCCCTATCATTGAAGCAGTTGCGGTACCACAATTTGTCAGATGAGCGGCGCGCTAGTTTGGCTGTGGCCTGGAAATGCGTGTGTGTGTGTGTGTGCGTTTTGGTTTGTGTATGTGCTTGTGTGTGTCCGTTCGTGTATGTTTGTTTGTGTGTGTGTGTTGGCATGTTTGTGTGTGTGTGCGTTGGCATGTGTGTGTTTGTTTCTTCTTCTTTTTTTGTGTGTGTTTTATTTGGTGTGTGTGTGTGTGTGCTTGTGTGTGTGTGTGTGCGCAAGAGTGTGTGTGTGTGTGCGCGCGCGAGTGCTTTTGTTTGTGTGCGTGAGTCCGTGTTTGTGTTTGTGCGTGTGCGTGATTGTGTGTGGGATTGTGGGTTTGTGTGTGTGTGTGTGATTCTCTGTGTGTGTGTGTGTGTGATTGTCTGTGTGTGTTTGGGTGTTTTGGTGTGCGTGTGTGTGTGCATTTGTGTGCGTGTGTTTGTGTGTGTATATATTTATACATATGATTATGTTTGTTTGTGCGCTTGTGTGTGTGGATGTGGTTTTGTGCGTGTGTGTGTGTGTCTCTCTCTGTCTCTCTCTCTGTGTTTGTGTTTGATTGTGCGTGTGTGTGTGTGTGTGTGTTTTAGGATTGTTCGTTTGTTTGGCTGGTTGGCTGGTTGGTTGGTTGGTTGGTTGGTTGTTTGGTTGTTTGTTGGTTTGTTTGCTGTTGGTTGGTTGGTTTGTTTATGTGTTTGTGTGTTTGTGCGTGCGTGCGTGCGTGCGCCCCTGTGTGTGTGTGTGTGTGTCTATGTCTGTGTCTGTGTCTGCATCTGTGTCTCTGTCTGTGTCTGTGTCTGGGTCTGTCTCTATGTCTGTGTTTGCGAGTGTGTGTGTGTATGTGTGTATGTGCATGTGTTTGTGTGCGTGTGTGCGTGTGTTTGTTTGTTTGTTTGTTTGGTTGGTTGGTTGGTTGTTTGTTTGTTTGTTTGCTTGCTTGTTTGTTTGTTTGTTTGTTTGTTTGTGTGTTTGTGTGTTTATTTGTGTGTGTGTGTGTGTTTGCTTGCTTGCATGTGTGCGTGCGTGAGTCTGTGTGTGTGTATGTGTATGGGTATTTTTGTTGATATTATGTGTGTGTGTGTGATTGTTTGTGTTTGTTTGTGTGTTTTCATGTGTGCTTGTGTGGTTGTGGTGTCTGCGTGTCTGCGTGTCTTTGTGTCTGCGTGTCTGCATGTCTGCGTGTCTGTGTGTCTGCGTGTCTTTGTGTCTGTGTGTCTGTGTGTCTCTGTGCCTTTGTGTCTGTGTGTCTGTGAGTCTGTGTGTTTGCGTGTCTGTGTGTTTGCGTGTCTGCGTGTCTCTGTGCCGGCGTGTCTGCGTGTCTTGTCTGCGTGTCTTGTGTCTGTGTGTTTGTCTGTGCCTGTGTGTCTGTGTGTCTGTGTGTCTGGTGTTTGCGTGTCTGCGTGTTTGCGTGTCTGCGTGTCTGCGTGTCTGCGTGTCTGTGTGTCAGGCACGCTTGAGTAGTTTGAGACGGCATTCTTGCAGCAGCGCTTCACTTTGTTGTGGAGGGCCCCGTTGTCATTGACAGAAGGCTGTCAAGCTTCGGCGAGGTCCTCACGGAAGCTGTTTAGGCAATTGGAGTTACAAACCCGGGGCATTACGTATGATGAATTTGGTGTACACGTCGTGCCTTTTGTCGAAGGGATCATTCACATATGATTTCCTGGGGTAGGCACCCACAACTTACCCACACCAATACTACGTATGGAAGGAGACAAAGCATCTACACAGCAGGGCTGCTGGGTTTGCCAGTGAAAGGTGTTAAGACCGCTTTTATCAGCAGAGGGCATCGTGTGACCTTTTTTTGAGGGCAACACCAGCGGGATATCCAAAGTCGCGCTGCATAGCACCGCGCATTCTCAGTCCTTTGCAGGTACTCCCCCCAAAAAATCAACATGATACCACACAGAAAAGGCCCTGCGTGTTGGAGTTGCCTCTGGAATTGGCTTGCTTGTCGGGTTCCATGTTGTTTTTGTACGGAGGGGCGGGGCCGGGGGTTGGGGTCGGGGTCGGGGGTCGAATCTCGGACGTATTTCGCTGTGCGGATGGGCCTGCCGCTTCGGGTCGATTCCAAGTATAGACCCCAGGTTTCCAAAGAAGAGCAGGTCGAGCCAAGGATGTGTTGGGGACCCCTACAGAACCCCGCTGGCTAGGCTAAGGGAAACCGGAAAATGTTCCCCTCCATAGGGCTTTTATTACCAAATGAACCCACGCGAATACGGTTTCCTCACCGAGGCACTTTGCGAATACATGGGCATCGACCATGAGGTCTTGGCGTTTGAGGAGTGGCTTTAGGCAAGGCAATCAGGCAACCAACGCAGGCCCTGTGTGCAACCTGGGTTTGCGTTTGGATTTGTTTGGGGGAGAGGCTGGGGAAAAGGGACCCACTTCAAAAGAAAAGGGGGGTGTCAAAAGGCAACGCTGCAATGTGAACCTGTTGTATAAACCGTCAAGTTTGCAGATTGGCAGAGATTGTCGTTTCTATCGGTGAATACTAGCAGCTTGCAGAGAGAAGGTTGGGAACAAAAGTCTCACGCGAGAAATATCTATCCTGCGAAGGAAGTTGTGAGTGAAGAATCGAACATCATGGTGCGGTTCCCAAACGTCCCAGGAGGGGATCTGCGGTCAGAATGTTGCGGCAAGAGGTTTGATGGCAGAATTGCCCTAAACCTTTGCAACAACCTTGGAGCCAAACAAGCGAATGGGAATTGCAGGGAATTACCCACAGACATATCCACTAGGTAGTTGCTGGGTTTACCTCAACAAATCCTTGATCGGTCACGACAACTCTTGGGAATTGGCTGCAGGACATGATTTACGACTTCGTTTTGCCTCTTGCCTTAGAGCATTTCCCCTACAAATGAACGCGGCACCCAACAGCAAAAACGGCCCCCAACAGAAGGTGCCTATGATTCGGATTGGCTCAATGGACTTCATGCTGATCAGAGTATTTGGATTTGGTCTTGAGGATCAGCTGGAATGGCCAGGACCCTGAAAAGTGGTGTACCTCTTTGAAGTGTTAGCCGAACGGGAGTGAATAATTACATGTTGGTCGAATGCGTGATGTTGAACAAGGGAGGTTCAAACATTGTGGTTAGTTGGAGCAGCCATCCAAATGGCACGAGAACTTGCTTTTGACCACCTCCACGGCCTGTCCAATGAAGCAAACAATCCAAAGTCGCCAACGCTCTCTTTTCTCAAAAATGATCTCACATGTTTTTCTTTCAGCGTCTCCCATCCTCAGTGCTTCCTTCCGGGAGCCCTCAGGACTCCGAGCCGGTGCGGGTGGCGGAGGTGTTAGCGGCGCTGCGTGGCAAAGACTTCACGGACGTGTCGGTGGTGCACCATGAGACGACGGCGGGCGCGTCTCGGAGAGGATCGAATAGCCTACGCCAAATGCGTCGGGAAAGTTGGATTTGATCTCATTGCCAGACTTTGATGTGTTTAGGTCTTCGCCATTTTGGTTGTCCGTGTTTCCTGTCAACCAACAAGCACTTAAGCACTTAACTTGTTGCCAGGGATGGAGCAATCTAAGGGTGGAGTTAGGGCAACGGCCCGATGAGTTTAGGGGAAGCGGAAATTCGGACAAGACAATCCGTTTGCGAAGAAAGGGCGGTCATCCAAGTAAACATGGAATTGGGTTGAGGGACCGGGCAGAAGTTTGCCCGCTGTTCCATTCGGATTTTGTCTCGCTTAGTTGTTTTCGTGCAACTTCAGAAGGTTCTTAGAAAGCTCTCGTGGGGGATTTGCCTTTTCTGTGGCCGGGTGACTTCTCTCTCTCTCTCTCACGCTCTCTCTCTCTCTCTCTCTCTCTCTCTCTCTCTCTCTCTCTCTCTCTCTCTCTCTCCGAGGTCATCAATCCCTTGGAGGAGCTGGTGAAGAATGTGAAGTCCGAGTTTCCCACTGTGCGAGGCCATGGTAAGCGGTGAAGAATCGAACATGTGCAGCATGTGTGTGAGCGTGTGTGTGCTGTGTGCGTGTAAGCGCATCGTCTGTGTGTTGTGTGCGGTATGTTTGTGTGTGTTGTGTGTGTGTTGTGTGTGTGTGTGTCCCGTGTGTGTGTGTGTGTGTGTGTGTGTGTTTCTATGGTTCTGTGCTTCTGTGTTTCCGTGTTTCTGTGTGTGTGTGGTTTGTTTTTGTGTGTGTGTGTGTGTGCGTATCTTGACTGATTCTGTGCCCAGATTTGCATGCCCAAAACTCGCTTCTATTTGGTAGGGCTGGTCATGCACCCCTTAAATAGGAATTTAGACAACCATGGTAAGAGATTCTAAGGGAAGCACGACCAGGTTCTGCGACAAGGAGTTTTGACATGGCAGAAAGGGGTGCGGTTCCACATTCTGAGGGTACTCTTTGGGGTTGCTTGGGGGGAAGCCACCCATTTGTGGCTGCATTTGTCTCTGGCTCCCAACATGAAAGGTGCCACAACAGCACGCCTATTTCGGCCACTGTGAAAGTAAAACTGGTTGATGCATATGAAGGCTGAAGTGATCTTAGCGTGCTTTATGGTCAAAATGCGTCTAGCTACTTGGATTCGCAAAGATGGTCCTTGCCTTGGACAAGCATTTCATGCGCCAGACTCATTGGTAGTTGCGACTATTGGGGGAGCCTGGTTAAGATGGCATGGCGAAACTTATTTGTCTTCGTTGGGGCAGCCTGCGATGGCCTGTTTGGACCCTGTGCCCAAAGGAACGAACTCATTCCTGAAGCTCAAGGAAGGATGCAGCAGAATGCCTACAAGGTCTCTGTGGATAGATTCTTGCGGGGTGCCTATCCAAGGGGAACGCACACACTGGGCTTCGGTTTAAATCCACTTCCGCATGTTATATTTTTTGCAAGCAAAATATGTGAGCTTCCTTGTCTTTCCGGAAGGTTCTAGCATGATGTTCCTTTCCCTTTGGGTGGCCCTACCTTCGCAAGAATGTCCTCTCAAAACCCCCCCCCCCCAACCCGCCACCCCCCCCCCCAAATCGGTCGCATCCGTCCGCTTGATCCGAGTGCTGGTGGATTCCATGAGCGGCTTCGGCGCCTATCCGCTGGACATGGCCTGGGGCATCGACTTCGCGGTGAGCTCCGCCAACAAGTGCATCGAGGCCGGTTGACGCCTGAAATGCCCGTTGTTAAAAGAGGTGTTCAGGGGGAAACCTATGGGAAACCAAACTTTTTTGGAGTTGGTACCCTTTGTTGGATTTGTTTTCAGGGGGAAGCCCATGGGAAACCAAACAGTTTGGGGGGTTCAGGACAAACCTAGGTGCCCGGCGGAAGTGGAGTGGGGAGGGGTGGGTGAAGAATTTGATCGGTCAATATGGGGTTTTACATCCGTTGCATCCGCAGTGTGGCTGTTCAAGCGTGAAAATGTGCGAGCAGCGCACGTGGACGGTTTGTTGTTTCCTTTGGGCCCCAAACCGGTAACCCTTGAATCTATAGGTTATCAGCCGTAGGCCCCTAGCTCTAAGCAATGGACGGTTCCCTTGTGCCAGTTGATGGATCCAACATGCCTGTGGATGCTGCCGGAGCTAGCTCCGACAACGCCACCGGCGGCGGTGTGCGAATGTTCGCATCAAGCGCTAATGCGCAGTACAACCGCACCCTGATGAATTCCCTTCAACTGTACAACACCGCAATCTTTGCTTTTGGGAATGATGCAGCCATTAGGTCCGAAGCCGAAGCCCTGCATCAAGCAGCTGTCACGCATTTGCAAGCGGAAAACCGTGAGGAGCTCCGTGTCGCACAGAATCAGCTGCATGCACACTATGCTGAATGTGTGCAAGCCCAGTCGCATAGAATTCGTGAATACGAACAGCGAGTGAGCGATGAGTTCATTCAAGAAGTGAACTTCGCTGAAGCTAGGATAAGCCAAGTGTGTGAGGAAAATGCCCAAGCATTGCATGAAGCGGAAATGGGACACAAAACAACTGAGTTTAGGCAAGCCATCGAATCCACCCTGGCGGAAGCCCAGCAGCTCCTTCATGAGCAAGCTGCCAAGCACGCCGATGACACAGCCCGTGTTGAAGCGAAAAACGCCAGGACGATTGATATGATGGCCCATCAAAACGGGCTTCTGCAGGACGAGCTCGATGAGCTGAAGAAGTATCAGAAGCAACGCGACCTCCGCGAGGATGGATCGAAGCCCAAAGGGGTAGGTGATACCCGAGAGGATTCACCAGAGTTGATGACCGACGACATGAAGTCAGCTCGGTCCCAAAGGTCAATGTTGGACCCGTTGACCCATCCGTTTCAATACGCAAAGGAAAAGTTGAGGTCGCTTGTTACCTATGACGGTTACGGGGATGAATATACCCCTAGCGCGATTCCAACTGCCGAATGCGAAGCACTGCCCGCAGATGCTCGCGATCCGCAAGGACCAGCTGAAAAGCCATCAGGTAGCAGCCGATCCCCGGTGAAAACAAGTGCACCGGTCCCACCCCTGCAGTTCTCTCAGGGGCCAATGTCAACTGACCGCAAGCAGGGTGGTAAGCCTCCCGGCGGTCCGCCACCTGATGATGATGGCGATGGCGATGGCGATGGTGATGAAGACGAAGGTGATGGCCTCGGGCCTAACCTCGGCCAAGAAGCATTCGCCAAAATGTTGATGAAGTTAGTAAAAGGCCACACGAACGATGAAAAGCCCAGAACCCGCGAAAGCGAGACGTTGCGATTCAAGGAGATGCCAACTCCTGAAACGTACCGTGAATGGAAAACATCGGTTCGTGAGGACGTCCGCGCTGCATCTGACCGTCCAGACGAGGCTTGGCCTTGGATCATGGAAGTCTGGTCCGATCGCGAGGACAAGAAGAAGCTGTTGGAGGAGCTCGGCGAACCGGGAAAATTTGTGACTCTAGACACGAAGATTCTCGCAGCGCTCACGCGTTCAGCGAAAGGCGATCTGGCTCAGCGAATCCTAACAGCAAAAGGAAGAGGAAGGCAGGTCTTGTTTATGTTTGACCAATATTTCAAGACCAGTGAAGAAGCCGGAAACCTCTACTCCTTGGAGGACCTGTTGCGTGTCTCGCGACACGGCGAAGGAATCATTGATCTCAAACGTTTCCTAAACGCTTGGGATTCCGTGGGTTCGCATGGAAAGGTGAGTTCCTTGTTGCAAAACTAGAAGGGCTCGATTACCATATCGAACATGCGTCCCTCACGGTACAGCGAACAAAGCGCATTGAGCTTCCGACGGATGAGTTCATCTTCCCGATGAGGTTGTTGAAAGACCCTGCATCTCATCCACCTGTTGCCAGTGCTAGGACACGAGATGATCCTGTGCCGTTGGAGCGTGGGCAAGCCCACATCGAGGAACCCGCCGCATCGGAGAAATCCGAAGCGAAGATCAAGCCTGTCGTGCCCGACAAAGGCGGTGCATTCGACCCAAGCATAATGCCTGATGGGTCACCAGTACCCGATGGCTATGTGTGGGATGGGGTTCGGCTCGTCCGCAGGAAGGCTGGTTCCAAAAGGCCTCCTGATATCCCGTCCGACATGTGGGTCATGCTCGGCAGCCAGGACCGAAAGGCCCTAACCCAGCAGTATGAAGATCAGCTCCGTGCAGATGCCAAGAAGGCTGTGCTCGAGACAGCAGTCTCATCGGAGGCCAGATCCGAGCACCCCGAAGCCGCATCGAGTGCAAAGCCGACCAGCGCCGCCCGCGAGGGCGAGCCGACGTTGCCCGTGATCCGGCACGCGCCTGCGATGTCCGTTCTTCCGGAACGGGACAAGCCATCAAAGGAGCCGCATCGCCCGCCATTGCGTGAGTTGGTCAAAGAGCGAATCAAGAAAGTTGAATTTGATGTTGCTCTTGAACTGTTCAGTGCAGTCGTTGCTAGGCTTGTGCCAAAAGCTGAAGTAGCCAATACGCCAAAGGCCCAAGCTGCTCTTGACAAGGAATGGGAAAACCTTCGAAAGAAAGGCACTTGGGATGAGTTCAGAGTAAATGAGTGTAGGCGCGTCATCAGAGAAGCCCAGAACAAAGGGGAAAAGGTCCACATTGGAAGGATTTTCGAGGCTTGTTACGAGAAGGGTAGCGAGCTTCCCGATGATGATCCCAACAAGAAATTCAAAGGAAGGACTGTTTTCCAAGGGAACAATGTTTATGATGAAAACTCTGTTGCAGCACTATTTGCGGAGCTAGGGTCTAGCCCAGCGTCAATGGAGGCAGCCAAAATCCTCGACGCTTTCGGGTCGCAGCCCGGCTACCGCAAGGCGCAAGCCGATGCGAAGCAAGCCTACATCCAAGCCCTGTTCAAAGGCGTTCCTACATGGCTCAGATTGCCTAAGAACAGATGGCCCAGCCATTGGAGCAAACAATACATTGACCCCATTGTTCCACTTGTGCTAGCCTTGTACGGACATCCAGATTCAGGGGGGCTTTGGGAAAAGCACCTCGAAGATGCCCTTAGCAAGCAAGGCTTTGTAAGAGTGTTGCCTGAAATATGGACATCCATTTTCCATCACCCGGAACTCGACCTGCTGCTCGTCGTATATGTTGATGACTTCAAGCTTGCAGGACCCGCCGGTAGCCTTGATAAGGGATGGGAATTGATTGGGAAGGTTGTCGAGATCGACGCGCCCGAGCCATTCGGCAGATACTTTGGGTGTCATCACATCGAAAAGAACAATGTCAGATTGTCTAAAGAGGAACATCCTTTCAATCACGTGTTTGAGGGTTCTGCGCAACACGCGGGTGTTTGCTCTCAAAGAAGGACTGAGGACTACTGGGAGCATGATGAGAACACGAAAACGTGGACACGCTATCACTTGCAGCCCAGAAAGTGCCTTTTCCGTCCCAAAGAGCAAATGAGTGCATTCGCTTGCAGCCTCGACCCCCAGCGCGTGACAATCAAAGATCAATCCAAAGCAAGTCCAATTTGCGATGAGTGGTCGCGTCATGCAAATGATCGCATTTCTGCGGACACCGCGTGGTGGACCGGACGTACTGTGTTTTCCTACGGTGAGAATCAGGAAGCAGCTTTGCAATGTGCATTGCCCTCAAAGCCTGGATCAATGAGAGACAAAACCGCGGCTAAGAAAGAAGTCAAAGTTTCGAAGTTCAAAGGACCCGAAACGATATGCGCAAACCTGTTGGTTGTATGACTAAAGAAGTCAACATTGTTGAGTACGACATGTCTGATTTCCTCAAGTCATGCGTTGACGCATACTGCGAACTTGCCAAGGTTAGCGTTTCCTCGTTGAGTAAGGTAAGCACTCCGTTCATTGGTTCGAAGGTCGAGAGACCTGTCGTAAATGAAGAGGAGCCGAAGGGCAGGCTACAAACTATCGCTGCAAAGGTACTAATGAAGATTCTATTCGCAGCCCGCATGGCTAGGTATGACCTGCTAAGAGCCACTCAAAGCCTTGCCTCGCGTGTGAGTAAATGGTCCACTGAGTGCGACAGCGCTCTACATCGGCTTGTGTCATACATACACTGTTCGAAGGACCTTAAGATGCGAGGTTTTATCGGGGATAAGTTCTCTGATTGTAGGTTGTGGTTGTTCGCTGATGCGGATTGGGCAGGCGAATATGACTCGCATAGTACAACTGGTTGCACCATGATACTGGTAGGGCCAAACACGTACTACCCACTGAATGCCTTCAGTAGGAAGCAGACAGCGACCGCAACAAGCTCGACTGAAGCCGAGGTCATCGCTGCGAACCAGGCGCTCAGAGCAGAGGGATTGCCGACGCTGTCGCTTTTCTGTCAGCTCAGCCTGTTTGGGAAAGAAGCACATGGGTATGCTCAAAAGGCTGGAAAAGCCTCCCTTGATGTGCCCGATGGCATTGTTGCTCGCATTGATCCCGAGTTGGATGAAATTCGGTACGGAAATGTTGATGCGGGCACAAGTGTAGCAAACATCAATGCCCTAACTGTGCATCTCAGTGATAAGTGGAAAGTTAAGCTGATGGAAGACAATCAGGCCACGATCACTATCCTGCAGCAGGGACACTCACAGAAGCTAAGGCACACGGATAGGACCCAACGCATTAGCTTTAGATGGCTCCAGGAGCAATTCGTGAATAGGCAGTTCGAACTAATCAATGTTGACACTACCCTCCAAGCTGCAGACATCTTGACCAAGGCGTTTGACAGCACCCCAGT